ATCGTCTGCAGTGACACTTAGTAAGGCGATGACCGTACGGTTTGTCCTCTCCACCTGCCCATTGGCTTGTGGGTGCCGTGTGGAATTTAAGGTGTGTCGAATCCCTCGTTCATTGCAAAACGTCTCGAATGCGCGGGACGTAAAATTGTTTCCGTGGTCGGAAACAATTCGTTCGGGAATACCGCGTTCCGTACAAAATTTATTTAGAGCGCGTAGGACAGCGGCAGTGTTGGTTGTTTTGCACGGAAATAGTAGCGTGTATTTGGTCAAATTATCAATCAGAACAAGTAAATATTTGTTTTTTGCTGCTGTCGTTTCAAATGGTCCGAGGTGATCAATATGGATCACCTGAAACGGCCGTCTTCCTGGCGGTATCGGATGCAAATATCCAGGTTTTGATCCAGCGGGCTTCTTGTTAACGAGACAATCTACACACMTGGCAATGTGMTGCTTGACGTACCGTCTCATTCCGGAGAACCAATAGTCGGMGAGTATGYGCGCGACGGTGCGATCGACGGRAAAGTGCCCGGCGTAGTCGTGAGCCGCGATCACAATCCCTTTTYGCATAGCCTTAGGTATAACTAACAACGGGCGGTCTTGATAAATTTTGTAGAGCACACCCTCGACTACTTGATATCCATTTACATCTTCGATCACTCCGTCGGTTCGATCGCGAGTTCCGGTATACGTTTCTACCATGTTACGRATGTTTTCRTCCGTAGCTTGCATTAAACGTACTGCCTCGAATTTAGACATCGCTACGATTACGTTGACTCGGTCTGACAGTTCCGCCTCCACGGAYCTGACGACCGGCTCCGAACACAACGCGTGTTTTAATTTTTTGAAAGCTAATTGCTGCTCTTCCTGCCACTTGTATGGTTCGTCCTTCKCGGTAAGTAGTGTGAGCGGCTCTGCTAGTTCGGCGTATTTTACAATGAAGCGCCGGAAGTATCCGGCAAGCCCTAAGAACCTCCGGACTTCATGCRCGTCGCGGGGTTGCGGAAAGTTGACGAGCGCCTCGACCTTGCGTCCCGGACGTATTACGCCCTCCGCGATCCGGAAACCCAAGTAGTCCAGAGTGCTCATTCCGAATGAACACTTGGAGGGTTTTAACGTAAGATTTGCTCTTACGAGGGCTCTCAATACTGCCTCCAGTACATCCAACATGTCTTCCACGGACTTARATGGTATAATGATATCGTCAAGGTAGGTATGTACCTTGCCAGCCTCGCTCAGGTCCTTAAAGACGACAGCCATTAACCTCTGGAAGGTTGCGGGAGCAYCCTTAAGGCCGAAAGGCATTCTTTCGAACCTTGCCGTGGTTTCTTMTGTCACAAAAGCTGTTTTCTCCTTAGCATCCTCCGACAAGGGAATTTGCAAGAATCCRTTAGATAAATCTAAAGTCGTGAATATGCGTCCGTCCGCTAGCTTACTTAACTGGGAATCAACGTCAGGCATTGGGAATGGCTGCGTCACCGTCTGCWGATTCAGTCTCCGGTAGTCGACACATAGTCTTTTCTCGCCGTTCGCTTTGTTTACCAATAACACCGGACTTGC